CAGGTCTGCCACCTGTTATTAATATAGTTATCCTAAGCTGGAGGCAATACAAGCTTTATTGCACCTCAGGCTGTCATATATCTATATTAGGGGAGTGATGAATGCACTTTTTCTTTTTTTTTGAGAGTTGGCTACCAAACACATACAGTCGAAGTCCTCTGGAAGACAAATATGAATCTGGATAATGAGACAAGTTTGCCATGTTGATGAAAATAAATGTAAAGTTTATTCTAACAGAGCTTCAGAAGCACAATCCATTTAGAGGCATATTGTATATCTGTTCTGACTATCTCATTGTATGGAATATGAAAATATATTTTAGAGTTATGCATGGCATTTCATTTTGAATACAAACTTTAATCACAGTTTAAGATTTAAAGTGTAACTTTGTAAGAAAACAGATATTTTAAGTGTGAAGTTGAAACTTTCCCCTCCTTTTTTTTTTTTCCTTTTTTTTTTTTTTTTTTTTTTTTAAACTTGGAATCTCTGCATATTGGAGCTGTGGTCTGGACTTGGTAAATTCTGTGGATTTCCTTGGATTTCTGTTCCAATACTATCAAGTAATTATTGGGTTTTGGCCCTTCATCCTGTGAGTCTATTTCTAAATACTTACAGAAGGCAACAAGTATGTGGGTTTCATAGTCATTTGAATGTTACTCCTGCTTCTTTATGTTTGAGCAGTAGACAAGAAAAAGCTAGTAGCTGTACTACGCTACTCCAGTTTGAGGCACAAGCCTTTAAATGTCTTATTTTTGACACATAAATCAACATTGTAAAATAATTTAAAATTAACTGAGGATTTTCTTTGGTTCCACGGATAGTTTACATTCGTTCTTGAAGAACTGAAGGAAAAGAAACTGAAGGGAACAAAATTGAAGCACACTGCAAAACATTAAAAAATGGAAATTACAGCCTAACCTGTATCTGTTTTTCTTGTATATTCTATTTGGCTTGGATTTCTCTTACATTTCTGTTTACATTTCTATTTATCAGATCTCTCTGATTCCACATATTTTCTTCTACTAACAAACTAAATGCAAAGTGGTGTGTGATGTCAGGTACCAGATGTGGATTGCTTTCATACCCTTGAAATTAATAACACATAACTACAAAAATCAGGGAAAAATAGTAATACCTTGTATTGGATTACAATTGTGGTTCAGAACACACAGACAAATATTCAGAAAAACTAAAATCTAGGGTGAGAAAAATTATAAAAGTAAAAAAGCAAGTAATGTTGGATACATTTTTATGAATACATCAGTGTTTTTCAAAAGCGATGCAACCATAATAGTAGGCAAATGTATTCTTTTCTTTGTTGTATTACTGATCATCCTCATCAGCTTTAACCATTCTAGATTATTTTCTCTTATATTAGAGAGAATTATTATCATTGTTGTTATTCTCTTACATTAAAAATAAATCATAAGCATAAGTGATCTCTGCTTTTTAGATATTTTCATTGAGTACATGAAAGCTAACAGAAATGATTTCTTCAAAATGATTCATAACAACTCAAAAAAATCTGAATACCAGTAAGAAATTATATAAGTAAAACATGCTGCTGTGGCTTTTATAGTCAGTTGTTACGGACCTGATTCCAGCAGTGAACAGCATTTCTGTTTTATAGAATTACAGAGTGAATGCTCTAGTCCTTGCAAGGAAACCATTCTCTCACTGCAGGTAGTGTGGAGTAAAAGATGTTAAATTAGCATCAGCATAAATCTGCCTATTGCATTTGCACTTGTCAATAACTTATTAAGGTATCTGTGTTCATTCTGGTTGCTGACCTTGCTAGCACCTGGGATTATTTGCCTCCCTTGCTTTTTAGAAGCACAGGAATTTTGGTTCTTCCATCAGTTTGCAAAAGTTGCTCCTTATATACTTTTTCCCACCCTGGAGAAAATGATTTCTTTTCTGGTACCTAACAATGTATTCCAGAAACATTGAACTTATTTATCAAAGTACTTCAGGGCTAAATTGAACAGCAAAGCATTTTGTGTGTGAGTTTCTGTGTATGTTTCCTGATAAACCTGCTTGTTCTGTGTTTCTGTGTGTGCTGGTTTCTAGTTCCCATGTTCTGTGAAAACAAAGAGGAATCTATTTTTATTAGCTGATTTTCAACATGAGAAGCTTCTTGTAACCAGCAGGGAAATGACCTTCCTAAAACACTGCAAACCAAAACCTGGCAATTTTTTCTTAAACTGCTTTTGTAGCTGATGAGACTGTAGACCTAAACCCAATGTTGGAATATTCTCATACAAGTGTGATAGATCTATGTTCTGTCTTCTGTTATATGCTGTAAATCTTTTCAGTGTGCTCAGCATGCAATTTAAAGCTTAGTGTTTGACAAATGCAGAGTGTTCTAATGTTGTAAAATGATTGAATGGTGTAAAGGGGCATTACCAAAATAAAGTTTTTCTGCCCAAGCTCTGGGAAACAATGAAGGATTAGTTTAGTGGATTGTTCCTCCTAAAGCCTGATAAAAGGTGACGATTACAACTGCTGGCAAAAGTGGAAGTGTCTTAAGGCAGCCTGATTGTACTAAGGGATTGAGTGGTGGCAATAGTGCTAAGCAGGAGTCCCATGCTCAATAATATTTATATCATAGGCACGCTTTATCTTTGCCAATTGCTATTTCTACTGTTTATTACCCACCTTTCAGCATGCTTTTGTAACAGCTTGCAAATTTACCACTTTGCTAGCTAACTTGGCAATTTGAATTTGAATTCTCTTTTCTGTAATTCCCCTGGTAGGTTGGCTTTTTTTCCCCCTTCAGAATAGGTAATATGGTTCGTCATTTCCCAGCTCTGGGACCTTGGCTTTTCTCCATTAGTTCTGAAGAATAATAGATGGTGGCTCCAACATGATTTCTGCAAGTTCCATTAGCTCACTGGGATGAATTCCATCTGATTTCTGTGGATTTCTTTTGTTGCAAAAAAAGTATTGTACATTAAAAGATCAGTTACTGTATTACCTAAGAAAGCCTGGGAAAATCTACTATGCCAGTTGTTGTTTTTTATTTGTTTGTGTTTTTTTTTGTTTGTTTGTTTGTTAGTTTATGTTTTTGTTTGTTTAGAAAGAAGGCTGAGAGTGTGTGTGTTAGTGTCTGAATGGCAAGTGCAGGCTTGATTTATGATGGACAACTGAACTGCTGTAGTGGTTCTAGGGGACAGAAATGTAACATGAACTGGGCAGTGGTACATTTGGGGACACTGCACATAAATGAGTTATCCTTGTAAATAATAACAATTAGTCTTAAAATCAGAATAGTGACAAAGAATCTAGTTTTAAAATTCTGTTAATTAAAATGAAAGGGCTTCTTGTTTATAAACCTGAGCCTTCCCTGCTACATCTGTTTGATTAGTCCTGAAGCTTAGGTTCCAAGTCAAATTTTAATGAACTTTGTTGTCCTTTCTCCTTGCCATTTGTTCTGGACATTTAATTATGATATCGGATATCAATGATCCTTACATTTATTTTCCTACACTGTATCACTCAATGACATGACTCTGAAATGCTTTTTTAGCAGTTTTGCCCTTCAGCTGTAAATTGCGATTCTGTACTTCTTCATTAATGATCTTGGAGTGCTTACATAACTCCTTAAGAGAAAATATTAAATGTAAGATGGTTCCATTAATTTAAGAGCAGGGACATTCTATTTAGACTCCCCTTTCCTTGCTGAAGGAGTACAGCATTTTTCATTTTGATAAATGATTTGCCTTGTTATAACTTTTTTAACTAATGGGTATAGAAAAAAAGTGTTAAATAAAAATGGTATGACAAAAAAGTGTGACATTCACTTTATTTTATATGGAAAAAAATGAATGTAACACAAAGTGATTTTATTGAACTGTAACAGCAAAACATTGAAAGTTCAGTTCTGAGTTGGCCTTGAAATGTATTCCATGTGTAATATAGATCCTTTCACCTACAGATGTATTTTCAGATATAAGCCAAATTGCTAGCAGTCTCATTTATTAACAATGCCATGCTGTAAGACGTATGGCTCATTGACCTTTTCTAAAGGATGCAACAGGTATTCTTACCCTGAGTGGGTTGGACATGGGTTGCATTTGGTGTTAATCAGGATGAAAACTATCCCCCCCCCCCCAAAAAAAAAAAAAAGCTTCTAGACTGGCTGTTCTAACTGCCAACACGGAAAGGTAATACAGGTAATATACAGAAATTTGCATTACATTAACTGTTTCTGCAGCCACGAAATAAGCTTTCCATATGTGAACTCCTTTGTCTCATTAGGACTCATACCTCCTGAGTGCGGTGTAAGTACATGCATGTGATATGCTTGCAGGATTGGACTCCCTTTTTCATGTCAGAGTTGTTCCATTTTTTCAAATTTGTTATGATCAGGTGCTGTTGAAGATCAGTGTCAAAACTGTGATGAAAATAATTTCTTACTTGAAGTTTCACTGTTTCTGTTTTTTTTTTGTTTGTTTGTTTTGTTTTGTTTTTTTTTTAACAGGGTACTTTTAATAAATATTTCATTCTACTATGTAATTTAATGTTCTAACTTAAGGTGTGCTACAGTTTGTGATCAATAAACAGTAAGTATTGAGTCTGAGATTTTCAAAGGGACTGAAGAATAATTACACATTCATCTTCCATTAAGTTTTGAATGCCTTTGAGAATCTTAGTCATGCTTATCACTGGACTCTACTCAGAAAAGGTTGAACCATTTTATTTAGTGAGTGTCATTATAGAATATATCTACATATTGAACTAGCTGAAGTATTAGAACAATAATCAATTAAGTCTTTCCAAACTGGCACCTTTGTCCTGGTTTTTAATCATGCACAGCCTATAAATCTACATATATCTCAATCTTTTAACTTGCAGAAGTTCACAGTTCCATCCTGACGTGTTCTAACAAAGTCATAAAAAGAAATCTATCTGTATGAGTTATTACTGTGAACGTCAATTGCATATAAGTATCAGAGGAAATATGTTGGTCATTAAACATTTCTTTTGCTTTTCTTCAGCTTCCACAGCTTCTGTAAGAAGCATCAAAAAACATCAAGCAATTGAAATGGCTTTCACATTATTTCCTCCCCTTGGTGCAAAAGTGAAGAATGTAGTTACAGTGCCACTACCATGGCTGCACCCTCTGCTGGATGGAAAAGTTGGATCCAAGAAAGCAGGTAAAAATTAGTAGCACATTAGTATTCTATAACACATACATCTCCAGAAAAATATGCCCCCTGCTCTACCTCATCCTCTGCTGAAGAACTGTTGTATGTTTTTATAAAACTGATATTGTTTACTTATTGGCTTTCCACAGAATTAGCTCAAACTCCTGATTTTTAAGACTTTCCAACACAAAATCTAAATTGGCAACTGAGCATCACACTTAACCTGTAACATTTTTTTCCATGTGTGTTAATATTAAAAAGGATATGTTAAGTTGATGTTTCTCTGAAGGTTCAAATTCAGGGACAAACCTGTTCCTCTGCCACTTTTGCCTTAGAAGGTAAGCAGAGGAACTCCACATTTACAGGCAAGTGAATCTAGACATTCAAAAAGACTCTGTAATGCCTGTGCTGAAGAAAGGGCATAGAGGAGAAAACCATGCCTCTCTGGTCTATGCTAGCATTAAGGCTACAGTGCCATAGCAAAGTCCAAGCACTTGTTTGTCTCAGTGCATGATGCCACTGAGAAACGGGTGATGATTGCAGTCAGGGACTGTGTGAGCAGGAGAGAGTATTTTTGTTTGTTTTGTTTTGTTTTGTTTTTCTTTAATGTCAGAGTAAGGAGAGTTTTCCTCATAACAAGCTTGGAGTCAGAGAAAATATCAGAGTAAAATTCTGTATACTAAATGTACTAAATGCTCTATGTTTCACGCTTCTTATGCCCTTTCCCCTCACTTTAATAAGTACCAGCAGCCAAGCTGTATGTTAGAAATTGAAGGCCAATTTGCTCCCACACCTTCAAGGGAATTTCCTGTAGTACATTTAGACTGTAAACCTATTCCTAGGGTTTGGGTCCAAAGACAGCACTCCGTAGCACTCTGTAGGTTGCACAAAGAAGTGGAATTTAAGGACAGTGACAGAAAAGTGTTCCGCTCTGCAAGCATACATTATGTTGAAAATGTATATATAAATCAGATGATGGATGGACAGAAGAAATTAGTGAAAGAGGAGGTGAGTAGAAGCCATACTTTGTCCAGACAATGTTCTGTGTTCTTGCATTGCGTTCAGAGGAAAAGGAAGATTGGATTGAAATTAAGACAGTAGTGCTCATCTTTGATGTTATAACAAGACAGTCTCCTTCTATCACTTATCACAAGGTTCCCCATGACAGCTGCTGTGTTGAAGAAATTATTATTCAAAAAATACTTTCAGCCTCACTCAAACCTTAAACTGCGGGATCTGTTTTTAAACTAACTAATTTTTCATGACTGTATTTTCATAAATAATAATTCATGACTCTAATAGCTGTAAGCCTTGGGTTGAAAATGAATTATAAAAGGATTACTCTTTTTACCTGCAAGTATACAGGTACATTTAAGGAAAATGTGCAAAGGCTCTTCCCCATTCCTATTGTTTCATTAACAGTCTCTTTAACTATACTTGAACTGGTACTGTAATATGCTGAATTATACTTTTTTTTGAATTATACTTTTTCTTTTTTTTTTTTGAATTACACTTTTTTTTGATGACTGTCTTCAAGAAATGGTTATAAATCCATTGACATTAATGCAGCAAGGCTGGTTTACAACACTTGTAGACAGGTGCCATTTGTGTGAGGTTACTTAAGTCTGCCAAGGCCTGAAATATTTAAATGCTCTCCTCATGGTAGTCAATATTCTAGATAAGGACTTCTCTTTTAATTTGTTTATTCAGATCTTTGGTAGCATACTGGTTTGTCAGATTTTGATTATAATACAGACAAGAATAGTAGAGGAGACAAAAATAGATCTTCAAATGAGATTATGATGTATATGGTAAGATCTACCTCTGGAGTGCTTTTGAGTTGTTTTGGTCAGTGACCGGAGTATAGCATCTTCTTGAGTTACAGCAGTTATTAAACTGGTTGACAAGAGTGATGCGGTAGTTGCCTTGAGAAGAGATTAGTCTATTGAAGGAGGACTTTCTGTAGCACAGAGACTCCTCTTCCAATAAGCATTTTAGCTCTGGATAGCCCTGCAAATTTATTTTGTTCCACCATTAATACTCATAAACACAGCAAGATACATACACCCCTTTTTTGCTTACTGTGTCTGTTTCTGTGGCTTCTGAGATGCGCCAAGCATTCCGCAAGTAATTGAGAAACATTGAAAACCACTTCCCAACTCATCTATTGAAAGGTCTTTTGCTATCTGGCAGAGATCTAATCTGAGAGAAATAATCCCTGAACTGTGATTGTATTTAATTCAAATGTGGAAGTTCCCATAGGCATACGTTTATGCTGTATATGTAAATTACAGATTCTGGTGCAGTGTGCTGTGAATTTCTAATCTAAGTATAAAAATTCTACGTGTGCTTAAATAAGCAGAAATCAAGCTTTTAAACCCTTTTTGAAATACAATAGTTTTGTTCATATCATTGATATACAAGGCATGTTTTCATAAAACTTCTGCACTTACATCAACTATTATTGCTCCTACATTACCAGTAAGTAGTGTGCTAACATCTCTTTTAAGCATGAGTAATCTTCACTGCATTTTTTAACTGGAAAATGGAAGATAATACTCATTTCCCATTGGAAAAATAACTATATAAAAATGCATCTTCCTACTCAATTTATTTGCCAGCTTTTGTATTCAGATTGCTTTACTGATTAAAAGGTCAGGGCATCAAGATTTAATTCACATTCAATTTTGTCACTGTGGTAAGTTTTTCAAACATTTCAACTTTCCACATATCACAGTTTCAATATATGAGAATGGGATAATATTTCAAACTCACTTTTTTGAATTGATTTTAGGTGAAGGCAGCTCCTTATTTGAATAATAGTATGTGTGATTGAGCAATACTTTCAGTTTGCTACGGGAGCAATTTTATTAAATGCTAAGCAGTATAATGATATTAATGATGACATAAAAAAATCAGCTTTTCTCGGTGAGGCTTGTGGTACAATATTTCCTTTTGATAGTTAAAGGAAGGACTTTTTTTTTTTTTTTTACTTTATCTGTAACAAAAGTCTTGCTCCTCTATGGAGTGAAAATGTGTTTCATTTTTGTTTTCAGTAAAATATTTTTTTCCAATGTTTTACTGCAATAAAGAAATAATACCACAAAAACATAATGTTACCGTGCTTGCTAGAAATGAATATAAGTTGAAACTATTGATATTTATAGCATGACAATGGACTTAGTGTGGTTAATTGGAGTGGAGGAGTGAGGTTGTAAAAGGTTTGTGAAGATAATCTCTTCCTTGAGAAACTAATTTGGAAACACGGTGTTTATCTCCGGAGTCTCGGGAAGTCAATGGAAATCTACAGTGGTGCTTTAGATCAGTCCCTTACAACCTTCTGGTGTATGCCTTAAGTAGCCTGCTTACTTATCGCTAACTTTCTCATGGGTGTTAGGAGTCTCTGCAAGGGATGGTTTCCCACCAATATTTAGACAGACACAAATCTGTCAACTCCTTCCACTGCTAGACTAAACTGTGATAAAAAAGCCCTGGAAGTACTATGTCCTACCAATTAAGAGCATTGTAATACTGTTCACTCATATCCTATACTTCAGAAGGAGCTTCATAAACATGGACTCAGCAATTCTGTGGGGAAAGAAAGAAGCAGGAAGGAAGGAAGGCAAAATGGAAAGATAAAGCACTCATGCTTCAAGGGGTAGAGTGATTATTCTACTACCTAGGCAAGAGAGGATATGGCAGGTGTTTAAATTTTTGTATGTAGTGCATATTAGCTCTTTCTTTTTGCTTTGATGTGATTTTCCCAGTTTAATTTACATGGTATAGCTTCGAAAATAAAAAGAGACAATATTGAAGAGCTATCATAGCAAGCTTTTCATATGGTGTCAGTTTGGGGTAAAGGAATAAAAAGTTCTAATAATATCTTTCAAGCATTAATCTCTGCAAGATGTCTTGAAGAACAGAATTAGAGCAATATGTGGTCTTTGCCATCTTTGACTGTTGTGACTCAAAGACACTTTTGATCACTTTAAAAGAAAATTCAACATTTCAAAAGCACATGAACCAGTAGAATTTCCACAACAATCCAATTCCTCATTTACATCCCAACAGGGTCAATTTTCAATGCATTTCACATAAGAATAAATACACTGTTCTCACGATTGTTTGTGTGTGTAGTTCTCCATACCCCATGCTGTAAATATACCCCACAGTGTCAGATCCATGCTGTGACCAACAATATATGCCCAGTGGGCTAGGCCTAGCAATATCTACTGTATGTTTATATTTTTTCCTTCACATTTCTGCAAAGCTGCTTCTTCCGCTGACTTAGCCTGGCAGTATGGCTTGCTATAGTTTAGGGGATTGTAAAGATGTCTCTAAAAAGCATATGGGAATGCAGCACTCAGACTCACAAATGAAAGCTCAAGACTATACTGAAAGGCCTGTATTTTGTAAATGTTTGCAGGGTATACAGCGAGACAGGAAAGCTGCACATCAACATAAGTGTTTGTAGAAGATTTAGATAATGTAGTGGCATCTCAGTGTCTCACTTAAGGTGACAATTGTGGCTCTTTTACTGTGTGGCATTTCACTTTATAGCCCACCTTAGCTTCTTTAGCTGTGCTGGTTATCAAAGGAATCTGAAGTAAAATTTGGCCTAAAAAGCCTTTTAAAATACTGGAAATGACAGCTTGACTGCTTAGAAAAGAAGAATTTTATTTCATGAGAAATAAAAAATAGGTTGTTTGAAATTTCTTTAGAAGAAGGCAAAAGGGAGATGTCAGATCCCTTCCAGTCCATTTTTATATGATTCTGTGATGTGAATGTGGCACTTAGGTTGCTGATCATTTAGTAATGAAATATATCCAGCAATTTTAGAGAATACAACTCTGGTCTAGTTTTGTTTTTAAGAAGTTCTTAGAGTAACTGCAGTTTTCTAAAATTTCATCCATCACATTGCAAAGTCGGGGTTTGAAATCTGACCTGTATGCATGTTTGTGACTAGTCTATTAAATCTCACAGTTCTATTTCTGTTTCCTGATTAGATT